CCGACGGTGAGTAACCATGGTGCATAATTGCTGAGACTTCGAAGGCCAGGACCAGTATTGCCACTAGCCGTAGAAGTTAAGATTCCTCTTTTCATTGCATGAAATGATCCTATGGCTATTGGATCATGGAAGTACGGTACTGCTTCGATTTGAGAATTTCCAAGTGAAACTGAAATGATGTCCACTCCATCTGATATAGCTGCATCAAATGCTGCCAAGACATCGGCAAATTTACAACCATCATAGGACCAACACGACTTGTAAACAGCAATCCTAGCTGATGGTACACCCCCTCGAGCAATTCCTTCACCGAGGCCTAGGAAGCTTGCGCTTTGTACAACTCTTCCAGCAACTATGGAGGCGGTGTGTGTTCCGTGCCCAACTGTGTCTCTTGGTGATGGTTCATCCTTGCTGAAATTTCCATCAGCTCGAAAATATTGAGCACCGATTATCTTGCTACAAGAGTGAAAGCATATATTATGGTAAGAATAGACTGTATTTAAATTTCATCTTGCACTCTCGATATATTCTATAGCATCGAGCCTCTCTAGTCAAGGCAGGGCCATATCCATCCTAAATACTTGACATGGTATTAGAGGTTAGGTTTCTCCCACAATCCTTTATTTTAGAGGTGATCAAAGGGTGGGCCAAGCTGAGGGTAAAAAAATTAGTCCGCTTGGTCAGTGCCAAGATTCAGGTAAAAATACTTGCCTAGAACCCGCAAAAGCTTGTGGGCTTTTCGGGTGTGGGAAAAAGTAAAGAATTCAGGCCGTTTAGGCCAAACCCAATGATAAATATGGGTCTTGACCACACCTACAACTAAAAGAGAGAGAGAATCCACTTCACAAGATCAAAGGAGGTTTCATCCCAAAACTATATGGTAATAAAAGGAGTAGCTCCTTAGCCTTATAAAGTGATCAACTCTCTCTTATTCAACCGATATGGGACACTTACAAGTGGTGATACTTGGGAAGTTTATTCTTCAACACCCAACCCAACATTGGGCCAAAAATTTCACAAATCAGACTGGGCCTAACATGGATCACCTTTATTATATTCAAAATAAACTACTAGTATTATATGATGTTGTACACTATATATATAGTTTAGACGATTAAAAAATACTTTCTATTTTCACAATTCAATTTACAAAAATGTTAACTTTGACATACTCTAGTATAAAAAGAGAAATCTTACTTGTTACATGTAAAATTTTGTGAAGTTTGACAACGGCCCTTCCATTTGGTGGGAGGTGGACCAAGACCTTCATCTTGAAAGCTTTCAGATTCAGGCCAAATTCCACTATCAATAACTCCAACAATAACATCACTCTCGATGTTGCTTCTCTCAACATTCTCAAGGACACCCATGAAATCCCAAGATCTTGTTGTGTGATGGTAAATATTTTCGTTTATAAAAACAGAAACAACTCCATCCATGCCTTGCATAATCGATATATTATTATACGTAAGTTCCAATAAGTACAATAAGAGAGAGAGAGAGAGAGAGAGAGAGAGAGAGAAAAAAAAAAAAAAAAAAAAAAAAAAAAAAAAAAAACTTTTTAGAAGGTAGTACAAATAAAGGTTCATAGTATAATGTACCAGCGATAACCTTTGCTTCATTTTCAGTTAGTTTAGCTACGCATCCATGGAAATTCTCATATGAATATAGAAGGCGTTCCGAAACCTTGTGAGAAGGCACACTAAAATAGTTGTTTCGTCCATATGTAAAATGACACCAACATATAAGATATATATTATAAAGAGGTCGATTTTGAGGATAAATGAAAATTTTATCAAGAAACTTTTGGCAAGAATATTATTGTTACATTGCAACAAAGTTTACAAGAAAAAGTAGCTAGCACGCATGAGAAGTGTTAATTACTATATTCCCCGCTCGCTTATTGCTTGCCCCATTTGCTTTTTATGTGGCAGGTGTTCAACAATAATCATATTTGAACATTATTAAATTGGATCTTGCTCGAGTGCTCGTGGGACGTTCGTTAACTAATTAATATATTGCCTAAAATAGTATTAAGCTTGGAATGCACGTCAAAATCACGCATTCATTAGTGTAAATAATACTCCCTCCATCCCCTAATACAAAGCATCTTTTGGTTTTTATGCGGGAATTAAGAAAGTTATAAATTCTTTAAAACTAATGATTAAAAGTACATATGTGCATGTGGGGTTAGAGAGAGATAGAGAGAAAGAAAAAATAGTTGGAAATAATTGAAGAGATAGAGAGAGAAAGTGTTGGAAATTAATATTAAAGTACAAAAAAGTAAAGGAAAAAAGATGACAACTCATCAAAAAAAGGGTAATAATGTAAAAAAATACAACTTTTAAATAGAAAGAGACATCGTATTTTGATTTACCCAAAAAGAAAATGAGGCTTTATATTAGGGGACGGAGGGAGTATTTATTTTGTTTAATATTTTCACTTTAACTTTTCTTATCAAACGCCCTGGAGTTTGGAGACGCTTGTTAACTTTTGCCTACAAATTTCATAGAATATTACATAACAATTCTACAATAACATAAAAATACAATATGAAAAGTAGAGTAGAAAAATCGTCCTCACCCCTCAAGAACGTTGCTTAACATATCAATATGAAGGCTTTTTGCAGAAACGTCTGGATTAATCCGATCACCCATGTATACAATATAAGTCTACATGCACAAATACAACTTGATTAATTAGTAAGATAAAATGAGCAAGCGCACCAATTTCATCTCCTAATTTCAATAACGTTCATCAAACTCAAAATTAGCCATTTTTCCGTATAGTCAAATCAAAATAAAGTTTAATTTTCCATGCATCCTTCCTCACTTCTTTTAAATAAACAAACAAGAGTAAATTTTTTACTACCTTAATTTCTTATTATTAACAAAGGGATATTTTATGTTTCATAAATAATACCATTTTGGTGCAAAATAGGAAACAAAAGTAGTAAATAATATTAAGAAGAAAAAAAAGTGTGCATCACGCCGCTAGGTGATTTTGAGGAGATTCTAGAACTAATGAACATAATATTTGAATCCACGTACTTTAAATCTTATCTAGATACGATTGATAGCTATTTCTTAAACGTACGTACTAAGGAAGATAATCAAGCTATGTTTTTAGTGAGATGTACTCTCTTCGTTCTTCTTTAATTTGTTCGTTATGCTCAATTACTGTTGATACAAAGATCAAGTAGATTATATATTAGGGAGGAACCATCTAAGTGTGGACTAATTTAAGTACGATTAAGAAGAGAAAGAAACATAAGGGTATCTTTTAGATTTAGAAACACTGAATGAAAACAAAAAATGAGTACATCTAATAATAATAGAACAATCAATAAATAATATTTCTTTCAATCAATGTAAACATGATTATAACAAAAAAAATTGATAACTATTCTTTGCTTGCCTCTCTTTGATTTTGATTAGCTTGATTAAGCGGCGCAAGAAGCCATAAACAGATTAAGCTGAGAAGGATACCATAATTAGAATAGTGATGAGAAGATAATTTGGGAGCCATACTCTTCTTAATTTGAGATGTCTTTTGCTACAAACTATTTTATGAAACAAGCTTCTTTTATAATACCATTTTAAGAGAATTGGTAACACATTCTTTTTTATTTTTGATGGATTCAAAAGAATAATTAATTCTCTCTTGATTATTTCTTTTTTTTTTTTTTGGTGGGGGGGGGGGGGGGGGGGGGGGGGGCGGGTTGGGGGTTGTCAATTGTATGAAGAAAACAACATTTTTATTCCTTCTTAGCTTGTAATTGATTACTTCAATGTATACTTAATCTAGCTAAGTATAAAGTAAATTATCAAACAAAACTAATATTAAATTGTTAATAAGCACCACTTGCGCCATATTAATAGATCGTTAGCATTATTGAACAATCTGTTTACTATTGGAGAGTTCGTAAAATGAAAATTCGATTTTAGAACAAGTTTTTTAATCCTAATTTGACCCTTCAACTATATACTAGCAGCTGTGGTTACATTGTTTATTTAAATTTAAGGTATTGTAATGGAATTTCTCACATCTCAATCCAATCTAACATTGTAAGGGGGAACCAAGAATTCTTTAGTGTGAGTAGTCACAGAATTTGATCCAAAGACTTTCAAATCATATCCATTAGTCCATACTCTTAATTACGGAGTAAAATTTCGTCAAGGTTTGCTTGGTCGTTAAATTAATCAAATAATATAAGAATGATATATTTGGTTAGTAGAATTGGTCTCATATATATACTCTATCAAACGCATTCCCAATTACGAGGTATCAAGATCCACTTATATGATTTATTTCTATGTCACCCTTTACATACATATACCAAACCACAAAACAAAACTTATCTTCAATGCTATATATATAGGCAAAATAAATGATATCTGATATTGTACTTACCTCCATGCCTTCTTATTAATAATGATTAATGATTATCACATAATAGCTGAAAACATGCCATCATATAGCTAGGAAAATTGATATTAGGATTCTTTCAAACAAAAAAAAGAAAAAAGAAAAAAAAAAAAAAAACGAAAACTGAAAGTAGGCATTTTAATACAAATATAGGAACAAGTAAATGGTAACAGAACATATTAGGGCCATCATACGCATATACCGAAGTCACTCTATTGAATTTTTACTGTTTGGATTGGATTTGGACTTCAAATCTACTTGTATTACTCTATGAATTTCACAAATTTATTTTTAATTTTAATATCAAACATGGATCGGATCACAACACATTGTATAACTAGTTGACATTTATGTTATAAAACCTAGCGGATCGGTTGGACTTATTATCGATAAAGCGAGTAGTAGATTTTTATTTCTAAAACAAATTGAATTGGAAGTACTCCACGATTTAAAAATGAGTTGACTATTATTGCTAGCTAATTGCTAATTCTAAACTTCTGATAAGTAAGCTTTGAATGTTGGAAGTGATAATCAAATTAAAGCTCAAGAATAATACAAGTAGCATGGAAAGATTATTTTTATATATAGTTTACATCCTAATAAATCATAAGAAAAAGTCTAAGGGTTCCAAAAGTAAATGAATTTGATAAATTACAGTAATACACTAATTTCTTGAAGTATAAATAAATAAATTCAACCCTCATATACAAAGTGTACATCAATAGAATTATTTTGATAATTAATTATTCAATTAAATTAAAGTTGACTTTTACATCGATTCCCCATATCTTGATCAATAAGAATTTTTCAACTTGTCAATTCTAAGACAAATTAAAAACAACAATAGGGCTTCGAACTTGATGTTGACCATCATCCCACACCAAAGAAGATGATATCAAAGCTCTCATACCAATTGTCCCATAAACTCTCACTTTAAATGATAATTTTTCGCCGGCAGATTTGAATGACAAAACAGATGGTTGTACTTTGATCACAATAGGCTGGTCTCTTGGCACGGTTACTATAGCCTTGTATGTTGAATTTGGTGAACCAACATTGGTGACTGTCCTCGTAAACACGGTGTCAAAGGGGCCTAAGCTTGTAGGGAGCGCGATTGAGGGGTAATTCAGATCCCAATTGGTAGATCTCTTGTGACCGCAACTACTTTCTCCTGTGATAAACCTTATTGCAGTTTCATTGTAGCCGTGACTACATAAGAACTTCATGTAGTCACTTACTCCAACGTCGTATACTAGGCCAGGGTCTATTGCCTTCAATGGATTGATTTGGCCGGAACCATAGGCTAATTCGGCTTCTTCATTTGTAGCACTACTCATTGGCAAGGCTATTAAATTCACATTGAAAATTACTAGTTATAAACTTTTAAGGATAAACGAGATATCAATTTGCAGACATTTTTACGAAAGGCTAAAAATAATATTTGTACCGGTAGTCATGAGAGCAGATTTGATGGCAGCTTCGGACCAAGTAGGATGAAATGACTTAACATAAGCAGCAACTGCAGTGGCATGAGGACAAGCCATGGATGTCCCCGACTCTATAGAATATTTCACGGACCTTTGATCACCCATAACTCCGGAAGGAGATGCAACCGGTGAATATGCTGCTAGGATGCTTTCTCCAGGTGCAGTCAAATCTGGCTAACAAATTACAAATTTGGCACGCATACAAGATAAATCAATTAGCTTATTGCTTGTTAAAAATATTTATTATCTCCATTTCTTATTATCAGCAACAAAGGAATATTTTATGTCTCACAAATAATACTCCTTTGTTGCACATAATAAGAAACGGAGGTAGTACAATGATGGTAAGTACAAATTTCGCATACTCTTACTTTAAGGATTCCTGGAGAGATTGGATTAGGACCCCTTGAGGAAAATGAGACTACGAAAGGAGCTGGTGTATCCTCGACTTGAACACTTCTTTTTATTGTTCCAATTGGTGTACTACTACATATATACATGAGAAACATACACATTATTGTAAAAACAAACAACCAAAATCAACTTCATGAAGGTGTACGTTGTATACGTATAATAGTATGTTACACGTTACATGTTACATCAACTAAAAGAGTAATACCTCGTTAAATTTCTAGTGTAGGAGATAACGCGAGCAGCATCATCAACACGAATATAAGATGCAGGGAGAGGAAAGGAAGATGCATGATCATGGGGTTCGACATCTTGCATTATCACCCCAGCCGCGCCACCAAGAAAGGGCTCCTCCCCGGGTACTAGCAAATCACATATTACAATCTTGCCTTTCACCAATGTTTTATTTAATGTGTCTAACAAGCAATACCTGCAATTTTGTTACATAATTTATGTGATTACTAATTAATATAATTATAATTAGTTCTTCAATATTCAAGACCAAGTTCATGCTAAGAATTGAATATCATGTTATGTCATCATTTACCGGGAGAGTAATGGCTCTTCATATGATTTGTTTGCTGCATCTCCTCCATAAATTAGGGGAAATGTCTTATCATCATCTTCAAATGTATTTAGAGAAACTCCCTGCATCAAGTAAGGAAAGATTTAATGTAAGTGTTTTTGTATACAACAACATATTTTATCATAAAATATATTGTTAGGTAGATATTCATATAAAGTTTCATGATATAATTTTTCTACTTTTATAATTTTCTTTAATATTCTCTAATGTAAACACAAGGTCAAACTAGTGTCTCGACATATATGCAAAATTTGACTATGTCAGTTATTATGGAACAGAGGGAGTATATCATTACTCGTTCCATAACCAAATGAAATGCTTAAGTGGATGATTAATTAGCTAGCTTAATAAGTTAAAGTCTTTAAAAATGGTACTCAAGGATCAAATTCCGTCTACATCAAAAAGAAAATCAATTCACTAACCTCAATAGCCATGCCATTACCAAGTTTCACTTGTGTGGTAAATTTACGGTCTATGATACTAGCTCCAACAGAAAGTAACCATGGTGCAATATTTCCGAGTGTATGAAGGCTTGGACCGCTATTTCCAGCAGAACTCGAAGTCAAGACCCCATGTTTCATAGCATGAAAAGCTCCTATAGCAATTGTATCCTCAAAGTATGGTAATGCTTCTTCACTTCCAAGTGAAATCGATATGACGTCCACTCCATCTGATATTGCTGCATCAAATGCAGCCATGATATCAGCTTCCCAACAATCATCTGTCCAACATACTTTGTACACGGCGATTCTAGCTGATGGTACACCGCCTCGAGCAGTTCCTTGGCCTAGTCCTAGGAAACTTGCTTTGTTCACCACTCCTCCTGCGGCTATTGATGCACAATGTGTTCCATGCCCTATTGTGTCTCTTGGTGAGGCTATGTCACCTTCTGGAATTTCTCCATCTGCTCGAAAGTATCGTGCCCCTATTATCTTGCTGCATACAATAATGCAACAATCAATGTTAAAGTTTTCCTTCAAACTGTAATTCACAATTAGACTAAAAGATTGCTAAAACATCTTTGTATGTTGTCCACATGTAAGTTATCCCACATTAATAAAATAAGATAAAAAAAAAAATCACTGAAAGCCTTAGGGAACTTGTTAAGGCCTTAAGGGGAATATAAAATTAGAAAGGTACTAATAATGTAGAGGAACCTTACTTGTTGCAAGTGAAGTTATCGTTTGAAGTTTGACATATGCCCTTCCATTTGGAGGGTGGTGGACCGAAACCTTTATCTTGAAAGCTCTCGGATTCCGGCCAAATACCGGAATCCAATACTCCAATAGTAATGTCACTCTCCATCGCACTTCTCTCAACATCTTGAGAGAAACCCATGAAATCCCACGACCTGGTTGTATGAAGTTTCTTCTTCCGATTAGGAAATACCGAAACCACACCATTCATCCCTATCATAATTAATTTTATGTCAATATAAACATGTAATAAGGTGGCAAAGAACATATTAAGTCAGTTCAATTAATAATAATAACAATGATATAAGTAACTATTAAAGTAAGCGTAATTAAGGCCAACGTACTAGATGCTTTCTTTGCTTCATCTTCGGTAAGTTTTGCGACACATCCTTGGAAGTTCTCGTAAGTATAAAGTAGATAATCTGAAGTATTTTCTGAAGGGACGCTGCAAATGCAATTTTTATTGCATAATGTTGTTACATTAGTTCATGTTTTATGAAAATATATAGCATGAAAATAATCAAGACCAAGAACCGAAAGACCATGTATAGCATTAGTTAAATACTATAGGGATTTTCTAACGTGTGTCTATCAGCCTATGAGCATGAATTATTTAAAGGTAATCGAAGTACACACACAAGAAGATAATTTAATTTACAAACATAAGATTGATTATAATATCCAAATTAATTGTCATATAGATTATTAAGAATGACAATTATGAGGACCACGCACGTTGTCACCTTCATCACAAGGATAGCAAAGTCAGGAATCTTAGTCCTTGTTTGACTTGATTATAAATTCATAAAATGATTGAAATATCCCGAAAATGTAAGATCAAATCCCGTTGAGAGAAAGAACATGATCATAAGCCTAAAAAATTGTTTTTCCATCATCTTTTGATTGGCTTTTCTCATTTTTCAAAGGTAATTATGTACAACTGACCTTTCAAGAATGCCACTCAACATGTCCAGATAGAAGTCCTTAGCAGAGATATTAGAGTAATGCCGATCCCCCATGTATATAATATAAGTCTGCAAAAATCATAAAATATATATAATTCAAATCAAATATAAATACGATAAACGTAACATTTCAAAATTCAATTTGAAGAAATTATTGGCATGCATGTTAATTTGACAAGAATGAAGATGCTTACCTTTCTCTGATGTTCGTCATGAGCTTGAATAATGGGTGTTTGAAGCCATAATAAGAAGATAATTAGAGAGATATTAACATATGAATAGTAAGGAAACAATTTGGAAGTCATTTTCTACAAATTTTTGGAATTCTCCTTACTATCAGACATTTTGAAACATGTTTTGCAGCTTGTTATATAGCCATTATTTTAGAAAAAAATATTCCAACTATATTGTATACAAATAATAAATATACTCACAGGTTTCAAAAAAAAAAATTAAATAAATATAATCACAAAGCAAGGTTCCTTTGACTTTTTGTCATTATTTCTTTTGATTGTTGATTAATTCAGAGAAGAGCTCAATCAAACAAAAACTAGCTAAGAACTTTTAGAAATGTGATATTTGTTTCCATTATTAGTAGGAAGAAGGTTCCTCACTATATTATTAACCCGATTTTTGCATATCTAACAACCTTTAAATAGAATTTTGTTAGTCTTGGAAGTTGGAACTTGATAAAAAGTAACAAAAAGAACGTCATGCCTTTTCAAAGATTGAAAAAATCTAACGCACGAAAAGACAATAGTAGTGTATCAAGAATCTAATACTATGTCTTTACTTTCCAATTTTCTAATTTCTTTTTATTTTACTATTCTGTTACCAATTTAACAACCAAGAAACAAGTACAAAAGTCAAAGTCAAAAAAATGAAAAAAAAATATATACGAAGTATATATTTGAAGCATCGCAAACATAGCATGTCTATAGCCTCTAAAGATTAATAATATAATTCATGTGATCATTTTCCCTAAACAAAAGGGGATAAATAATTTCCCCTTACAATCAAATCAATGGGCTTAACATTTATACAATAATATTGTTGATGGGTGGTTCCAAACTAAGGGTGTGCTCGACAGAGAAGCATTTTGACTAGGTCTAATCACTAGTCGGTAAAAATAAGAGTGTTTGGCAAGGTAGCAGTGTGAGTAGCTGGTAGCTCGCTAGTGGTAGAAGTTGTAGTTGGAGTAGAGATTTTCACAGGCATTAAAAGCCAACAAAAGTACCGATGCAAGTACCCTTCTCATACACGTCCACGCTTCTCATGTCCATTAAAATTCCCCCATCATCAATCTATGTATTCTGATCGGTTGGCTAGCTTCCTCACCAATTAGCATCCTTAAGGTATGTATCCAAATTCTGACAATTGTTCTCGTTGATAAAATAAAAATAACTTTTTTTTCTTAACTGATTATATACTTTTAATTCAGCTATTTTCCTTTTGATTATCAATATCAAAAAAGTTTGATCGCATTATTTGGCTATTTAATCATAAGGAAAAAAACACGATTATGTGAAGTTTTATTAAAATTTGAGTAATGGGTATGCTCATAATACCGCAAAATAGACCTATGAATATGACAGTACTTGTACATTTTTATTTTATTTTTTTTTTGAAACAATGATAATACTTGTACTTTATACGAAGTAGTTGCCCTTTCTCAAAAAAAAAAAAAAATACGAAGTAGTTGCCCTTGTCAAAAAAAAAAGTAGTTGCTAAATGCTAATATATTATTTGTTGGTTCTTTAAAAAAGGAAAGACCGTTGCTAAAGAACAAGTAATATTAGAAGATTTCCTTTTTTAGCATACAAGTTGACATCTATTTAAAACCCAATTGGCATATTTGTATCCCACTTACAAGTGTTATGATCGAGCTTATGAGTCGTTGACATTTCATTTAGAAACATTATTATAATAGTTAGACGAGTACTAGTCATATTAGTAAATAATCATCCACTCTATACAATACGAAAGCATCAAACTTAGAAAAATTCGTCTCAATCTATGTTCATATACAGATGAACACAGTTGTTTTATGTAATACGAAGTAATAAAATTGCTAAAAGTTACAATACTTGCAAACGATTTCTTCTGCAGAGTACTTTATTTATTTATTTTTCAATCGCAACGTTGAAAATTTTACACTATTCACACAACTTCTATAATCATCTTTTCCTATTTATACATCAAGAAATTCTAATCATATGAGATTTTATTAAATTCTTCTAAATAAATATACTTGTATAAATGATGTAAAATGTGCATAAGCAAGCTTGAAAATTTTAACCTTGCAGTTAGAAAATAATGGATGATGTATACCAAGCACTACTCCATTTCACCATTTGAGCATTACAATAACCACAATCATTTCCTCCGAACTTCTAAGATTATTTTATATCTATAAAATTTGTCAAGTACAGAGTATTATTTTATTAAAATGCTAAAAGTAAATTTAAACAGTAATTATCATTGGTATTCGATAATCCTGATCTGGATTTAATAGATCAAGTGAGCAAAACAAGAGATAATTTGGCAAATTTGATTTTCGAAATAGGAAGCATTTCAACATTTTTTTTTTCCTGTACATAATTACAAATATTACCAAGTTGTTTCAGGTCCATGAAGTAATCGAGCTGCTTCTTAAAGCATGCTTAAAGGACAGTTAGATAAACCCCTCTACAATCAAAGACTACACTACAAGCGCGTATATGTTACATCTGCCAAATCAAGTGCATAAATCACCTAAGCTAAAATTATGTGGTGAGAGAAGAAAGATTGAAAGAAGACAGACATATAATTATATATTACATAGTTACGCAACAGCCTACAACAGCTGCAAGAGCATTGCAGCTTCAAGCCCACCGTTTCGGAGGCCTGACTTTAGGCTTCACTGATGAAGAGCTAGTAGGCACTGGTTTCTTAGAACCTGTAATATATCAGAACAATAGGTAGCAATTAGCGTTGAATAATGCATTTAGATTGCCATAGACAAAATGACTAACAGCATGAAGCAACATGCAGCAAAATTGTCAAAAATCTGGAGCTGTAAAATTGGAAGGGTATTACCAATTCCTTAGAAAATAGAAAATAAAACTCTTGCCCAACAGGAAAAGTAAAAAAGCTAATGAAAATACACAGTTAGAGAAATAAGCAAGACATAAATCCTCCCATCAAAATACATGTCCGTGTAATGTACAAACTAAAACTTTAGAAAAAGGAGAAACAATATGTATCCAAAAAGTATCATAGCTGAAAAGATGATATAAATGAGCAATAGACATACTTGATACAGCTTTAGAGGAAGTCTTGCCGTGCAACAACCGAGAAGACCCTGACTGCTGTTTTTGTGGAGGTTTTGGAAGTTTGGTTGGCACGGTTAACCTTCAACAATATAACATAAAAAGGGTCAAAAACACAATACAACGTACTCGGTAATCTAATTACCTATGCAAAAAGCATCAGTATGTTTTGAATCTCAAACAAAATATGACCAAAGATAACTCCACTACATAAAGTTCAACCAAATCATCACAATAACCTGCTTCAGCACAGGATTTCTGCTAAAGCAGAATCAATACTATGATAAACAAAGACACGTAAACAAGATCATATCCAAGGTCATAAGAAATTGAGTATCTCAGTATCATGTTGATTACTATAGCAACATAGAAATGAAAAATGCAAAAAGGCTTACTTTTCTAGGTTTTCCTCTGGTTTTGCCGCTTCAGGAAAAAGTGTGTACTCCACAACACTGCAAATAGAACCATCAGTTTCCGTCCCCATTGAAAGGCCACTATCAGATATATCACTTAATCTCTCTTCAGAGTCCGCATCTCCAAATCCCAAAAGATCGATATCATCATTAAAATTATGAACTGCATCAGATGCAGGAAGGTCTGGATGCCTCAAGATTTCACGCTGGTTCTTAAGGTCTTCAACCGAATGCTGTGAACCAGCTTCAGAATGTCTATCACTATGTTCGGAACCATAATCTTGATCCGAAGTTGGTCTGCTAGTCTGCCCTGACAGTTTGCGCGACGATCGAGATGGCCCAAAGGAATGCCTCCCAGGAGAAGAAAGCCCAGGCTTTAGAGGGTTCACACCACGCTTCTCACTGTTAGTACTAGCCTTGACAAGACGCAAGCGCTGAATATCCTCATCTTTCTTTGCAATGGTAGCTTTCAGAGATGCAACCTACAAAACAGCTGAAAATTAGAGCACAGTACAAACTCATTTGATCTGATAGGTTATCCAGAGCTTCACAGTTGTCAGCTTATAAAATTGAATCCTTGCATGTATTTTTGAAGATTGCCATAGAGTGCAATATCCTTTCATTAAAGAGGACTGACACTGAGGGAAAAACATATTTTGACAAGCCCTTATCATAAATAAGTGAATTCCAATTGTTCAGGCAATAAATTCTTAAACTCAACTTACTCAAGAGAAAGCAAAACTCGATGAGAAAATTATTTTGATTCCTTCATGACTCTAATGTTAAACATTACAAAGCCAGAAAAGGTCATTCAAATCTGGGGCATTCACATATCATTCAGCTTTCAGCTCAAACACCATAGTATTACTCACAGATGCAACCAAGTAAAAAAATTTCAATATATCGTCCTTAATATCAGTTGTTTCCTACGGGGAAACATGCTTCCAAGTTGATCTACTAATAAATGCATAGTGATGATTAAACTGTGTCCAGCACAAGTTCCTCATGAGAATATAAAATTGTGGACAAGGCACTTGCATGGGCATAAATCACAAGTAGTCTTGAAAAACTTTTCTAAAGGATATAAGAATCAATCAGAAGGAAGAAACATCATAGAGACAAACCTGGTCCATGAGTTCCCTAACATCTCTTCCCTCTTTGTTACTACGTGCCGCACCCAACTCCACCCCGGATACCCTCTCAGCAAATTTAAGAGTGCTGGTAGTTTCAGAGTAAGACTCCACATCAGGGTTAAGCTGCACAAACATTAATGTCTTTGCTTGTCCACCTGAATCATATATACATGATTCTTCATTATGATGATTCAATGAAAGAAATTCATGAAGGGATAGTCAATTATTAAGATATATAACACAGGATCAAGTACTAGCCAATACCTAGTGAACTCTGAAGAACCTGAGTGAGTTTGCTATTTCTATATGGCACATGAGAATTCTTCTGAGCTAATGCAAAGATAACGTCTCCAAGAGCAGAGAGTGATCTGTTGATATGTTGAGCCTCCTTTAGTCTATCTCCAGTTGCTTCAGAGCGATCCACTCTTTCACTCCCTGCAAGATCCACCAAGTGAAGACAACCACGCAAGGCAGAATTGCTCTTCAAATCCATGCCACGGACATGGACTGTAAGAATGCTGCACATTACATTGAGTTTATTTTTTTATATAAGACAAGTATTATTTAAGACAAAAAATTTATCAAACATGTATAAAGAAAGGATAACATCTCCCCTATGATTAGAGGACAAAATAGAATTCCAATTATGGTGTACAAGAGATATGCCTAAAGGCTTGTAAAGCATGAGATGGAACAGAGAAAACAACTCTACTCAGCAAAGGAATCTTATCAAGTATTTGACCCTTTATCAAACCACAAAAGCCACAGAAGTACCATAAAATTCCCTAGCCATCATTCCACAAATAGAAAAGTAGAAAGATGGTCTCTAAACATAGCCACATTACCGTAGTTTAATATACTTCCTCCCTTTTGTTTTTACTTGCAACATTTCTAATTTTCTATAATGTACACTATTCACATACTCCACATACTTAAATTTTGTGATTTATACTTAAAGATAAAGAAAAATATAGTCGTATGGAATCTTGTTAGATCTGTCTCAATGTCTATCAAAATTTAATTTCTATAAATTTTACAAATGGATAAATAAACATATTAACAATTTAAGTATATGCATTGGCAAACGTGAGGAAAAAATGTGGCAAGTAAAATTAAATAAATAAATAACAAAGTAGTAATCATGCAAGCTTATTGCATAAATAAGTGCCTCTTTTCAAACAAGCACAATTGATAAAATAAATGTGGCATGTTAAGCACATTCATCAAAATGGTTAAGAGTGTTACATAAGCATAGTCAACAAAAAGGTCTCACAAATATATGTAGAAGAAGTTTTAGAAAACAACCTATGAGATCTACTACTCCTTTCATTCAATGCTGTGGCACCTACAGCTCTGTTCATAAAGCCAATGTTCATCAACTCAAGCACATCATTAGTAGACTTAACAGGGTGCATGCTTGCATCTGGGACAGCCAAGCCATTCGGTTGACTGGAACTCCAAATCCCAAGTGTGTGCAAGTCAAAGAAAAACATTACCAGTAGCACAGAAAAAATTACTATTATATCTTGATAACACGAAGTACAAGTAAAAATATGATAATCAACATACTATAGGGACAACCGGACAATAAAGTCAATCTCAGTGCTCACATAAGCATGCAACAAAATGAGGAAATTAAGTACTTCTATGTCACATTTTCACTAATAGAATGTCTTAATCAGCCTAGAGGGGAAATTTATAATCAGGAGTTTTTGGAAAATCCATAATTCTGAGGCCAAATAAGTGGCAACAAGCCAACAACAATAAGTTGATAAATAAATAGAGAAACTACAGATAAAAGCATGGAAAGTCACTATTTTTTTAATAAATAACATTCTAATGTAATGGCTTTAGAGCAAACTGAACAAGGTTGCAGGACAAAAGGTGAAAGGGGGAAAAAAGCTATCAGAATATAACATCTAATAGCTCATAATATGAACTTGAACAGTTGCCAGAGTCATATAGAGGGATAAATCAGGAAATTATTCTATATAAACAAAAATTAAAGGATATCTTTTCTGTGAACCATCACATGTAAGCAAATCTCGGACTTGCTCATTATAAATCTCAACCATCTGAACACCAATTTCATACATGATGGAGCTTCTCCTATTCTGTGAAATCTGGAAAAGGTCGTGCAGAGCTCGATAATTGACACCCCAATCCTTCTTTGACGTCATATCTGGTCCAGTCTAGATAGAGAGGATAAAATAGAAGAAAATTAGAGAGGAGAAATTTTTGAATGAAGTAACTAGGTAAGCAAAGCATCAAAACAAAAGATGCAACCATACCATAGTATATGTCTTGCCTGAACCAGTTTGACCATAGGCAAAAATACATACATTATATCCATCAAGAACAGATCGAATTAGTGGTTGAGTGTCAATAAATACCTCCTCTGCCAACAAATACATAGAATCCAAGTCATCAATAGACAATATTGTATGGCAACAGAAACTTCCAAATACCCAGTCATAAATAATAAGTAAAAAAATATGTAGCACAAGCCCACGAATACATTAAAGATGCAAATAACTGAAAGAAGTAAAGAACCTTGACTAGCTGCTGGAGCAAAGACCTTGTTGAACTTAAACAACCGCCGACTATCTTTCCCAGGTTTTAGGGGATTGACAACAACAAGCTCTCCATTCTCACCAATGTACTCTATTGTTGTCTGTTTCTCATTCTGCCCAGGAAGAAATGGCCTTATGCGACAATACACTCTGATATTTCCTACCAAATACAAGTGCATTGAATCACTTAGTAAACACACAGCTAAACTTGACAAACATTGGCACAATGCTAATCTGCCTACTCAAGTGTACCTTTCAGATCCTGAACTTCATTGTATAATTTACGATTTTCTGCAAGAACCATGTGGTAATTCTCGGCAGCATCTACAAGTTCCTTGAGCTTTGTGCCTGCAAGATAGTTTCAGTAGAAATATATCAAAAAAAAAACAGCCTTAGGAAATACTTGAAATCGCCGCGGTCAAAGAACATCTCTACCTAGAATTTGAAATTCAAGCGGATAACAGTCTTGCGTCATCAAAAGCTCTTTCTTTACAGAATCTAATTCCATCCTTAGTGCCTACACGAAACAATAATATTATGTCTAATCAGGAAACTTTCATTCAAACAAAAAGATACAAACAGGTAATAAAATGCAAAACCCACAAATATCAGACCTTCATAACATCAAATTGGGAATCCACAAAGCAAGAATAACGAAGGTCTCTAATTTTCAATTTCTGAGTCTCATGTTCAAAAGTTTCCTCCAATTCATTTACTTTTTTATTTGAAACTTGTAGAAGAGACTCAAGATCCATGATCTTCTCCTGCAACTTTGCTCTAGTATCTTTCGCTTCAGATTCCAATTGTGAGCAATGCTTCTCATTCGACCTTTTAACCTCCTCTAGCTCTTGTTTGAGAGCTTCTATCTCTGCATCACGCTCATCCCTTTCTTTCATTAATCTAACCACATCCTGCTCACCATGTTTCTTCTTCTCCTCTAATTTGGTCTTCTCTGTCTAAAATAGAAAGAAAGAAAAAGCTGGAATAAACTACATTAAAATGAGTTTGTATATCAATTACCATTTTTGAGAAAATAGAAGGATGTGGAGTCTAATATATTATAGCGACCATAATACAACAGTAGGACTGTAGGAATATCAAAAAGGCAGGTCAATAGCAGGGATGGGTCCCGGTTTGGTGGGTGGGGATTGGGATAAAAATTATACCCGCCACGGGTGATGGGGCAGGGTTGGATTGCAGGTTGTACAATCCTTCGTACCCGCTCCATACTCGCATGAGTGGCATCCATATATTTGAAAAAATAAAAAATTTATAATTTTATGCGTTTGTAAAAAAAATATTTTATAGCAGTAAAAATAATAATAGCCTAATAGTACAACAGCAGTAAAACAACTGTGTAATATTAAGTGATCTTTGTTCCCGTAATTCACTATAGTACATAGTATCATCATTTTATATAGGATGTAGTGCTGTCATATTTTGGAGGCGGGTCTGAGGCAGAAATTAGGAGGGTCTGGGGCGGGGATTATGTGGAGAAGGCCGGGATTAGGTGTGGCGGTGATGATTTTAGATTTGTCCCCGTCGGAGTAGGGATAAGGATGGATTTTGGACCTGCTAAGGGGATGGGGATGGGGGATGGGGATGGGGATAGGGATAGGGAAGAGAATGTTAGGTGGGAATCAGGGATGGGGATGGGAAGGCCAACATCCGCCCTGCTCGCCCCATTGGCTTCCCTGAGTAGGAGCTTTTAAGTGAAGAATATATGACGTCCCTCCAAATTCAGAAACAGATTGGGCGTTAAGCAAGGAAAAAGGATGTAATTGGATAGAATAGGTCTGAGTTAGCCTTCGCATCATGTATACTTTGTATATAAATTTGTAATTTTAGACCTTCAGAAACAGAAAGTAGATACATGCACTAGTAAAAATATACAGTCAAAGCATATCCAGAAATGGTAGTTTGTACCATATAAGAAGCATCAAGAACCACTAATTAAAAGATTAAGAGAGCACCTTAATTTGCCGAAGATGGTTTACAGCAACCTAACAATGAAGAAAGGAAAAAAAAGTCATTCAAAATCAAAAACTAGTAAACGCTCAAGAAACCCTAAGCATAAATCAAGACTACCTCACTTTCTTCAGCGGCCCCAACAGCAAGCGTCTCAAGGGCTTTCACTTTTGATTGATATTTGCCTTCACGAACCTTGCAGAGATTGTTTTGCTGCAGGAATGTGCAATATGAGAGCCAGGGCTTAAAGGAAATAAATTAATTACAACAATTGCATAGTTCAAGCACATTACATTTTTTATTTTATCTGCTTGATTTGACACCCGGCGCTCAATCTCTCGTACAAGTCTTTTCAAAAGGCAAGCCACACGCTAAACACATAATTGAAACTAAAATTAAAAATAACTTAAACATGGGACAAAAAAACAAAACAAAAGTAAATAGAAAGATACAGTTAATAAAGATTATTAAAAAAAAAAAACGTTACATGAGATACATCCCCACTCTTTCTATCCAAACTTTCATCCAAGACCCTGTCGACCATGCTAAACAGCAATTGCATAGGAGTTTTCTGCACTTGTAAAGAACCAAAGAGAATGAGAACCAGTGCCAGATTTGTAAAGGTGAAGTCTCACAGAAATTTAATAAACATGCAGAAACTTACATCTAAGCTGTTCCACTTCATCAATTCTGACACCTTGACATCAGGACCAAGATTTCCTGGTACACAAATTATCGTTTTCAGATTAGAAAATAGTAGTAGAAATTAGGTAAGTTTGATATCAGATAAATTAGCAGAGGCTTATTCTGCGAACAGTATTACAAGAACCTAACAACTGTCAAAATTAACTAAATAAGGAAAAACTCCAATCTGATGCCACAATAGCCAAGCACATAAGGTTCCCTCACCCAAATTAGAGCAAAACATAGAGACATAATTTAAACTTCTATTTCATAAATACATTCAATTTTGTGTAGCACTGCATACATTAGTATAATCAATGATTTGATGAATCTATCAACAGCCAAATGTTCCACTTCCACATGATACTAAACATTTTTTTTTTTGCCTCTGACTGCACGTGGAATTCATTCTGGGATAGAAGATTTTAAAGCCCAAATGCCCAATACTAGAGCCACATTTGTTACAATGAGCTCCAGTCTTCAAGTAAAGTAAGACTCCTTTATGCTATACATGTAGTTTACAAAATTCTTTACAAAATGGCTTGTTAGGTAACTTGATACAATTTATACATAGATATTTATATACCTTGATAGTCAGAAGTACAAGTCTGAAATTGCTGGAACAACCATAAAAGTAGTAGTTGAGTTTACGATCCAATTTAAGATTGTCCAGATTGATGCGGAAACTTGGAGACAGTAAATAACAAAACAATATGGAACAAAAGCAATCAAAGAGGACCGCATACAAAGGAAAGCACTTAAATGATGTATTTACCATGGGAAGACTGGGAACCAAGCTCCGGAGAAAACCCACTTATAGCTTGTTTGGTTTGCTTAAGAATCAAATTCCCATATGAATTTATGCTTCATGGTAAGTTATTCTTATGCAATTCCAAAGAAATGACTTTGACATGTTTGGTTGACAATAAAGGAATTTTCAATTCCCATGAATTTCTATATTCCCGTGTTTTAAAGGGAATAAGATTCTAAAACTTCATTTCTTCTTTTTAGTATCTAACAAATAGGTACAAAAAATTATATTTCCCATGAATTCCAACAACCTAAATTTATTGGGCTAACTAGACAAGCCCTAAATTGCAGGTCAATCTAAAAATCTCCGTCTCAATCTCTTTCAAATCCCTATAAAAGTTTTTGATGTGCGTATATTTGAATAAATGACATATATGACAGCATTGGAGACTAGTATTTATAGGTCACATCAATACATAAATAAATTGACAGATCAAAGACTGGCATGCTTCACCCAAGCACCATCCATATGTCTCTATCACTAAACGCAAACAGCGGTTTCAGCCTTACTTTATTTTATAAATTGGAAATTTTGGAACTCTTTGTATAGTAGATGTATTTCTCAAAATGCATAACTTTTCAACTAGGAGGCTAGGAGAAAGACAACGGGGTGGTGTATAAAATGATTGAATTAAGTAAGGGAAATACAGCTTGAATGACACCGACACAAAACACAACATTGATCTAGCTATGCTTTGGTTATTAACTAACTAAACAAACAAACAAACCAAAAAAAAAAAAAAAAAAAAGTTCAGAAAATAAAAATTAAAACAAAATTTGGAATTACTGCATATACAACAAGCAATTGTGGAACCTGCCACCTTCTGTTGGGAGCTCACTCCTCACAAATCCATATAAAAACAATTTTTTAAGAAAATAGGCAGCCAAAAAATATAAAATTTGCACCCATAATAGTTACTTCATCATTAATAATACCAACACAGCCCAGTGAACAATGTTTTGTCACATTAGGTGTGTTCTATTCATTTGATTATTTTTTTATTTTAATTGTATATTTTACTTGGTTAACCCTTATTAACCCTTACCTAAACAGATCCTATCTTAGCTTATCTAGACTATTTAATCCTTAAATGAACTTAACACAACTATTGTGGATTTAAAGTTAGCAGAACAAGGCCTAGGTCTATAACGGCAGGGAAAACATAAACATAGCACAGGTTAAGCATCCTGGTTCATGAAATTGGTACTCAAAATTCATTATTGCTACAACTGTCAACTGGGATGGGGAAATGTCCTTTAGCCATTTTCCAGTTCAATTTCAAGAGATAAAATATAACATTACAGGATACAAGAGGGGGGGGTGGTTGCAGGCTTTTTAGCAAGGGCTACAAAACACAACAAAGAAATTATGACAGTGATAATTGAGGCCATCAGAATCCGTTGAAGTATAAGCAGTGTGCATTACAATCATGCTCATTGTTTATCAGTAGATGACAAAGAAACAATTGACAGTTAGTATGAAATATTTCCCAATATTAATATCATTTCTATGATCAAAGAATATGACCTTACCTGATAAAGTAGTACTGCGAAGGACAGTTTGAAACTTTGATTCCCATGAATTCCTTCTTTTATCTGGTCCAAACTTAGTAGAATTGAGAGCATCCAGCTGGGAATGATCAGTAGTATCCAAATCTTCAATCTCTGGCACATTCCATTTCTTTCTCACATGGTTGCGAGCAGCTTCCCTATCAATGTTAGAGCTAAAATTACTCTTAAACACCTGAAGCCACTCCAAGATCTTGATCATTGAACCCTACATGTATCCAGAATTTACGATAAAAAATTAAAAATAAAAGAATAAATTGAGCACTAGAGGACACATCTAAGCCAACTCTCTTCACGGTTTGTGAATTTTGTTTGAACTCTTCTGCTCCAGTTTTATGACAAAAATGAACCTGTGTGAATTTGTAAGGACTTTTCTAAAAGCATATTATATAAATAGAGCAACTGCGACAAGGCCTCAATCTGGGAGTTTTACTACATGCAACTATTGATTAATTTAGTAAATTACATTAATACCATGCTTTTTTCCGATTTCCAATTTTGTATGAGGACCATTTCTTCAATTCACCAACCCAAGTTGCATTGCACAATTCGAGAAGTATAATATGAGGTGTAACACAAAAGTACCTGTTCTAAATCTGAAACTTCAAATCTAGGCAAGCCCATTTTATCCAAAGTTGACAAAAACCTTTCAACCATGGCTTGGGGCTCCAAATTACGATCCTGAAGCAGAAAAAAGCAGTAATCTATATATATATATATATATATATATAAGAAAATTAAATTTTGATATGCTGAAATGGAGATAGAAAAAATCAATAGATATGTCTGCTTCTGAAACAACCCACCCCAAAAAGAACAAAAAAAAAAAAAAATGTGCATATACCATTTCAACTGCTCCAGGGCTAAGCCTATTCAACAAGTGACATAAAACAGTTCCATCTTGCAAACAAAATCTTAAGTCCTCAAGTGAAGAGTTTGCTGGAACATTCAAATCAGGGAGCTGCCCATTCAGCCACTCAATCACGTCTAAGTGGAGAATTAGAGTACATGCACACAGTAGAGAAAAAATATCAGCACGGCTGAGTAAGGAAAGAAGAGTTGAGACTTGAGAACAGTTATAATGTGTATTTTAGCGTACCCATGATAATTCTATTGAAACTATCAGTTTTTCCATCATTTCCATTACATGCTTCACCATTAAAGTTCAATAACCCATTGCCTCCCAAGTGCGCTTGTGTTTGGAGGTCCATTAGCAAATCTTAAATAATGCTTTTTTCTCACAACCACTGACAATTGCAATTTCGAAATACTCACAAGAAAATCATGGCAGGTCCCTGAAAATTGATCAAGCAGCAACACCGTCATTTTAACAAAACATAGGATGCATGATTTAATCTTCCAGATGCGTGCAAAACAAGTGGAACATCATAAAAAGGCTAGAAACTGAATGAAAGACCACCCTTGAATTCTGGAACTAGCAGCACATTATTACAATATACTGAATTCTCACAACTAATATCAAATCGTTTTTTATATTAAGTCTGAAGGATGCAGTCTACAACTTCTCGTTTATTATTATTTCAATTTAGTGGGGAGGACACTTGTCAAATATAGTTATATTCTTTATAATGAAGGGGAAAATATTGTGAATTGCATGACATTCTACAGATTGTATACCTCAGATCATCATAAGATAAACAACATACAAGCATAAAAGTAAGTAATAGGTAGTTAGTAGTAGCAAAGACTATCAAGTAGCTGTAGTCACTATTGATTATTCATTAATTCTAAGACCTCTATGTGGACTAGCTCTAGCTATGAGTGCCAAATTCAGGATCACTGATACAGCATGACAAAAGTTTGCACAGATAAAATTATTGCAAGACAAAAGTATTGCAAGGTCAACATGAAAGTGAGTAATGTAATGCTCATTAATTTCACTACAAAAAAATATGTGCCGCAGCAAATAGCACTTGGTTGCTGTAAAATGCCATAAGTCCATAACACATATGATAAAAATTGCAACGGAAAACAATACATTGACCATGCTTTTTTTTTCCTCCATATGTCTCCCACAGTATTTGACCTTTTCACTTGCCACATTTCCTACAATAGATCAATAAGAACCTTAGGCGAAAAAGTGAGGCACTGACCAGAAGATGAGATATAAATAACATTCATCACTAAACGAAGCTCAATACATGACTTCCAATAAGGTAATGACAAATATGGAAATGGCCGCCCGACCAAATCTCAGAGTCTCGGATGGAAATAAACCATCAAAACTTTAGGAACTATTATAAGTGCTCTTAGCTCTATCAATAAATCCGCCAAAGATCGATAGAGGAAATACCAAAATAGACATAGCCTTCACCAAGAATTGCACAACTAGTGGAAGTAACTAACTTAAAAAAAGACAACCTAACATTTCCAACAATCTCACAACCGTTGACTTGCAACATAAGTACTTAACCACAAAGCAAACACTGCACAATAAGTAAGGTCTTGAGATAAAGGTATACAGCTAAAGAATCGTACTAAATCAGTCCACATTAGGCTTTCAATCATGTTGGTACTTCAACAATTACTCCATATCTGATAAAACCATTATAAAACATTCCATCTGTGCAGTGTATGTACACTACATAATTATCTCACGGAAAGCAACCCCTAATTTTACTTAAGCAATAACATCCTAAACATCTCAGCACTTTCTATCCAAAAAACAGCCATCCAAATTCTCAACTTAACAGTGTAGCTGACTGAAACAACAAAATAAACATATCAAAGTTCCACTTATCATTTTATTGTTGGCCTAATTGTTACCACCATATAGTGCTATAGCAAGCTTCAACTCATTACATTAGTCAGCTGCATCCTTTGCAATATTTGAGCTACCATATGAACTTTTAGTTTACACGTTCGGGAACTTCAATCAAGATGTGCCAGTAAGATGAGCCATTCCATTGCTAGATGCTCATTCAATTTCACTTTGACATTCATGAACTCCACAACTTGGAGCTCTCCTCCAGCTCAAGATCAAGCTAAAAAGCACAATCTTGGTCCATAGCTAAACTCGAATTGGACAAATTCAGTTACATAACTACCTAATCCTTACTCCACTCTCACCAAAATCAAATCAAACCATAGAATCAAAATAATCCAGCAAAATTCTCAAGTAAAAATTCAAACACCAACTAATTAAGGTATCAAATTCAGCAAATTTCATCACATTAACCTAAATTCTCCATCTCCACGGATCCATCTTCACAAATAACAATTCATCCATAATCCAATACACCAAAAATTCACAAATATACAGATAAAAAGGTCAAAACAGCCAATATATCTCACAAATATACAAATAAAAAGGTCAAAACAGCCAAAACTTCACACAAAATTGCCAAAAAAAACACAAATTAAACCTAAAAAAACCACATTACAAAATCAAAATACAAGTAAACAATAATGCGAAACATACCTGAAAAATTAGAAGAAGAAAAACGAGGAGCAAATTGAAAAATCGAAGGTGAGAGAGAGAAAACTGAAGGAAATGCTAGGGTTTATGAGATCGGAAAATGGAGACGAAACCCCTAATTGTTGAACCCTTCTAACTTTCTCTCTCCTCTCTTTCTCTCTCTAAATTTTGCTTTGAGAAAAATGGCAGCCTTTTAAATTCTCTCTCCTCTTTTTGGTGTCCTGTATATTTTCGTGCAGTAGCAATAGCAAAGACGGTGAAGGGTTGGTTTTGGAATTTGTCTTTTTTTTTTTTTTTTTTTTTTTTTATGTAGTCGTACAAAAATTGTTACGAGTATTCAAAATTTAATTTGGTGATCTTTCAAAAAACAAATTAATTTTGTGACGTACTTTAAGGAAATTCGTATAGTAAAGAAAAAAAAAACAAAGGTTATTTTTGGGAGTTCTGATTTGAATTGGGCCCACTATTCTATAATTGGAATCAAGTTCCCGCCTAATTGACGTAGATCGGATCTTTTTTTGTCTTTGTTTCCCTGGATCTTGAACTTTGAATAAACTTATGAGTAAGTTGATGGGCCTTTCTATTAACGACAATAAACCCCATGTGGGTGGCCATGCCCAACTCCGTCACATGTCGTATCCCAGTGCCTCCCCGATGTGCTGACGGCAACCTCATCGCGACCGATTCAATGGCAGGTTCAATATATGTCTAATTGAATTCAGAAATTCTTGGAGTGTAAAGGAAAAAAAAGACAATTTAGTAATTCGTATCGTCTTTTGATACGAACCATTCATTTCTTATCAAAATATACTAATGTCTAAATTTTAATGTTAAATCTATCAAAAAATACAAATTTATCTCAAAGATAAACAAAATTTGTTAATCACGTGACAGTTTTCGTAAATAGCTCAACAACTTTTTTATTAAATGCGGGCCTTCAATTTGATGATAGCTAGATAAATGATTTACTTATGAAAGTGTTATGTGATGAATTATTTTTTATTATATATATCTCTATTATATAAGGGAAGGAGGGGAGGGGAGGAAAAGGTTGATGTCCTACTTTTGAACTACCCATAACGCCCCTTATTCATTTTTATTTAATTAGAAAAGAAAACTAATTTAAGGTAATTCACATAATAATTGACTAGATTAGTCTCGTGCGATGCACGGTTTTAATAAATATTCTAAGCAAAACATGACAAATCGTGATCCCTCTCATTAGATTAATTGAGCTAAGATGAAGGACATGATGTTAAATATTCTAATTAGTTTCATAGCTATATAATTAAATTTAAAATATGTTAGCGTTCGTTTTTTATTCATTATAGAAAATTTGAAGAAATAAAGAGTGAAAAATCCAAACTCTACAATCACTAATAAAATGTAGGAGATTGTTTTATAAAAAATTAAAAAAACCTATGTAGGAGGAAAAAAAAGAACGTGAAAGAGACCAACCATCAATTATTTTTACTCAACGGGAATATAAATTGTGTATTTAGTCAATTTAGTTATACAAGCTTTTATTAATCAATCATTTCCAAACATTAACTTTACCTTAAAAAAAAAAATGAATGATGTCAATAATAGTTTTGGAGGGAAAATTTATTATAAGAAGTTGTCACGTGGATAGTTATGATGTCAGCGGTAATTATTTTAGTATTCGTTATAGATTTAAGGAAAAAAAATAAATATTATTCAATCAATCATAGTTTAAAAAAAAAATCCCCTTCAAATAATATAATCAAAGGAAAATTCACTACTACTACATAAATCAATCGTATTGTCAATAATCATAAATAAGTATCAAGTTTCTTTACATCATATTATCATGTATCGTGTTTTTTCACCTTTTATTACAAAAATGTGATTTATATGCACAACAATTAGTAAACACGGTTTCATTTTATTCTCTCATAATACGGAGTGGTCAAATTCGTAAAACTTTAGCAAATATTAAACACTACAGTTTGTTAAGCCTTAACAAAAGTGTTTTAGCTCTATACATCAAGCACGTATCACGTGCATATAAGACTAGTCTAGATATAAACTAGGGTAAGCTCCAAATCAACTTCAACCGTACCATTTTATTGACACGACTATGAAATTTCCTTTACCCCTTCTATATCCCTTCTCTTTCTCTCTCAATTTTGCAAATCCTCTCGAGTGTAAATCGAAATAAAATCTTTATCTTTTTCGAGAAGTTTCATTTCATGGATATGTTTTATTTATACTATTTCATAATATTTTAAAAAGTGTTTTTAAAAAACGGAATGTTAGTGAATTGATGTGCTCGTGAACAAATTCAGTCAAAGCTCGTTCATTCATTAATAAATCTCAAACAAAAAATTCATGCTTTAGTTGTTCATTAAACGAGTCTAGCTTGAACAACTTAGTACTCAACTCATTTAGGCTTGTAAACAACTTGTCCATGTTCATTTATATGCTCGTTCATGTTTTATTAGTCGTTTAAATTCAATTATATCTTAATACCATAAAAAGGTAACCATAAATTTTTAGAATTATTTTTTTAATGGTACAGAGTAGCTTGTAAATTGACAAATCTGTTTAAATTCAATTTTATTTGCTCGTCTATTAATGCTCGTTTATATTATTATTGTAGCTCAGTTCAAGTTTGGGCTTGAATTAAATGAGCTAAGCTCAAACATCAAAAAAACTAAAATGATCCAAGGTCGACAAGCAAAAATGAAGCTTGGTTAGCTCAATTCGCGCTCAAGCTCAAGCTTTATGAAGCCTAGCTCAAACAGGCTTAATACTAGGCTTGTTGACATCCATTAAAATGAAATAAGAGAACTTAACCATGATTTTCTCATGACATTAAAGGAGCTAACTTTTAGGGGGCGTTTGGTTCGCGCAGGGGAATCGGAATGGAATGAATCCAGGGAATGCAGGAGAAAGGAATGGGTTGACCCTGATTTAGCCTGGTTGTTTGGTTGCATCCAGGAAACGGAATGAACTGTTCATTGATTCCCTTTGTGACTGTTTGGTTCAAGCCAGGGAATGAAATTGTCATTTTTTAAATTCCTGTATTATATGATAAACCTGTGAAATCATGAATTAATACTTGAAGACCTTGTTATGAAAAAAGTTAAGCAAAAAAAACTATAAAGACATTATAAAAAAAAACTATAAATAACATTTTTCATGCTCCATTGATTACAAATCCAAATTATCACCTCATGGTGAAAATAATACCAAAGTACTTGTTCATAGATAAAAGTTCATACCAAAAGTATTCTAATAATATTGACATTCAACCAAAGTCTTTGCCAATAATCCTTCCTAATACAAAACCATACATAAAACCATAACATAAAATTTATTTAGGCACTACCATCACCGCTTCCTCCAAGAAGACTCTTAACATAAGCACCTTTCAAAGCATCCGGACACTTTGAAAATATCATGAGCTTGTTAGGTTGTGCGGTTAGAATGTTAGCCACTTCAAAAACTTGGGTAGGAGTGACACCTTCAAGATTAAAAGAGAGTAGTTCCTCTAGCACTTGTTCACTCTTTTCAACTAATTTTTGCTCTCTTTCATCCGCACGTTGTTCACGATCATCAGTGCGTGCCATCACAGTAGCCATAGTGGAAAGATGAACATTCATGTCTTTCATAAATGCTTGTAAGCTAGCGAGCTCATTAGAACTTCCGGCACCACCACTTCCTCTCTTACTTTTTTTTGTAGTGTTTTCAGTCTTGATCTTTTTATAAGGAGGAGAGGTAACAGTTTGAGTGACATTACCACTACCTAGAACATCCTCATCATCACTTGAATCAAGTGTAACTTGTGGAGGGGCAACTTTTTCCAAGTTGTTGACTGCATCAGCAAAACCTTCAGCTGGTTTTCCAGTAGCATAGTCCTTGCCATAAATTTTCTCGAGTTCATGAAAGTGGGGGAAAGAAATTCCATACAAATTTTTGCAATTAGGATGACTCTGGAAGACATAAAAATGCTCATCAACAACATCAAATACACAACATACAGTCATATCAAATGCAACAACCATATATTTCTAAATGTTGGTTCAATTTGACTAGGCATATTTTCCAATGAACAATTATAATCTCATAGCAATCAACCAATGTAATCAACAATCCATGAATTTCAACAAAAAAAAAAAAAAAAAACAGATTACTCACTATAAAAGGACCTTAAAAGGGGGTGTACCTTGCAAAACTCGTCATAAACAGCCCGGTCCACAGAAACCATTTATTTTTCATCATCCCAAACGAATCCACTTGTATTTAACATTTGAGAAATAGCCCTAAACTTGGCTCCAAGTGTCTTAATCCGAGAGTCAATGTGTGGTGTAGCCTTTAAACCACAACCAGGAAGAGCCTTACCTATGACCTCCTCCAAGCGAACCATATAGCCGCTTCGGAATCCATTTTCACACCTCCAGTGAGGATCTACAGCTAGCTCTGACAATGCTTCCACAAGGACTTCATCTTCTTGAGCGGTCCAAAATCGTTTGTTTCTCCCCCTTCCACCTCCACTTGCACTACTTTCTTCCATAATACTATAACATTTGAACCATATTAACATGACATATACATAAGAATATACATAAGAGGATTGCATATATATAAGAATAAAATTAACCAAAAAAATTGTTCAATTTAAGTAAAAAAGGAAATTAATATAAGTCCAATACAACATCCATGACTTAATGTAAACAGAAAAACGTACAAGATCGAAATTGAAAAAAGCATTCTAGTCTGAAGTTCAAATATAACAATAAAAAAGTTTGGTCATGTAAAAAATAAAATCACGAACTAAGTCTGCGGTTTCTAGCCCTCCACTCATTAAACATATTTTGGGCCATTGTATTTCGAAAATTAGTCCATGGATCGGTTACAGCAATGGAAGTTATGTAATCCACATCATCTTCATCACTAGCATCACCATCATCATCATCACTATCACTTTCCTCATACAAGTCATCATCATCAAATTCTGCAAGCATGTATCTTTTTACCAAGTTATGTAATAAGGCACAAGCAAGCACAATTCGACCATGTGTTTTTAAACTAAACCAAGAAGGACTTCTAAGAATTCCCCATCTTCCCTTGAGTAACCCAAAGCATCTCTCAATCACATTTCTAGCTTTCGCATGCCTTAAGTTGAAATATTCTTCAGCGTTTTGAGGTTGTCGGGGGCCATTATTCCATTCTTTAAGATGATAAAGATGCCCTCTATATGGTGCAAGGAATCCCTCTCTATTAGTATATCCTCCATCACATAGATAATAACAACCTTGACAAATTCAAAAAAAAAACAAAATTACTCTCTTACTAAGTTAATCTCAAATAAAGTCTACTATGTCAATCGTATTACCTTTAGGAACTTTCAACCCATTAGGCCTAGAAATAGCATCTCGAAGAATCCGACAATCATGTGCCGATCCCTCCCAACCGGGTAAGACATATGTAAATTCCATCTCAGGTGAGCATACTCCTAGAACATTCATAGCAATGGTGCCTTTTCTAGTGCGATATTTGGGTCGATCATCACAAGGAACATTAACTAGAATCATTGTACCATCAAGGGCACCTAAACAATTCTACAAAAAAAAAACAATATTACTCTCATTTATGTATACTAGTCTCTCTCTTTATTTATCTCAAATTAAAGTGTTGGTTTTGTTAATTTACCTTGAAATATTTCCACCTTTCATCGTCACAATCCTCTCGTATTGGAGTTGGTTTCTTAAGAAGAACAACATGTAACTTTAAGATTGCTAACAAACAAGCATGAAATTGTCTACTAATAGTTTCACCACTTCTATAAAAGTGAGCACCCATCATTCTATTTTTCTTATGGTGAGCTAATGTGTATAAGAAACCCGCAACCATCTCTTCCAAACATGTGTTTTTAGTTTCATTTAATCCGCCAATATCTCTAACCATTTCTAAAAGTACACCAAACGTGAATCGATTTATACGAAGATAGTTCCTACACAAAGTGTCACTTTCTCTAATCATTCTATTCAAATTGTGCAATCTCATCTTTCTTCTAGTTTTTTTATCTAGCTTTAGAGAATGAGAATTGTATATAGTTTTTCTCATTGTGTACCATATCAAATGTAGCAACACAACACAATTAATCATAGTAATTATGAAACGAATAAAGTCCCAATTTCTCTTCCTTTTCAAAGAAGTACCAATTCGAGCCATTTTCTGTAGAAAAGAAAATCAACAACACTATATCATTGACAAGTTTCAACCTAAACCAATATATACATGTATATACATATGAAATCAATATTGTACAACACATACTACAATACATCTCAACAATTCAAGAAACACTGCCTTCTTTCATACTTCATACTTGTCTACTACTTGTCTACTATACAAAATATAAACTCAGGCAGTTTGGATAACAAGTAAGAGAAAGACATGGCAACACCTTTGTTTGGATAACAACTAATTGGAAGGAAAGGGAGGGAAAAGCAAGAACTTGTTGCATTTACAGAATGAATACAATTATACAAGCCTTTTACACAACACAACACTACCATTAATAGTCAAGTATTGAAAATTTACCTTGAAAAAATGAATGCCAAGCACAAGCATATCTTACTACAAACATAATAATGCCCATAAAAGTGAAACAAATAGACAATGTTACAAGCATAATTCAAACTCAGATATAGCTACTCAAAATAGAGATGACAAAATTAGCAAAAACCTTTCTACATAAGCATCTTTCCAGAGGAAACCATAATTTTAAATTTGAAAGGGCACATTATCTCCAAAAAGTAAACATGATGGACCAACAGAGGAGGAAGAACCGGGCTTCACAGTCGTGGTTAAGAGTTTTCAACTATAGCTAGTTGGACACTATAATTTGAAGACCACACATCATATCACAGTACAGCAAACAGCATAAAAGCTACAGGGGAAAGGCTAAATGCTACATGATGCCTATAAAATTATCTATCTACTACCAAAAAATTGGATACGATCGTATGAAAATATTTGATTTAGTTAATAAAAATCAAAATTAAATTAATGATGTCACTAACATTGCTCTGGAGTCCAGAGTAAAATCATAAAAAACTCGTAAGTTGTAACACTTACAGAAATACTAGAATACTTCCCACTCAAATTTCCATAGGGAACCAATTTATTGATCCTACTTCGGCTACATGTTCTTCCCCATAATTGGTTAATATATAAGAGTGTATCATAATGTAATTGCAGACTAGAAATAAGATGCCAACATTATGCTTTCATTATTGAAAACGAAATTCTCCACCCATGACCCATTTTTAGCAAGTATCAGAAGTTGCTACAAGTAGCAGAACATAGACAAACAGTTCAAGTAAAATTATCTGAAGTAGATAACATCTCAACACAATTTTAGCAAAAGTATCAGAAGTTGTTTACAAGTAACAGAGCATAGATTAGGGTATTATAATGAAATTTAAAATCAATCTAAAGATCAAATCTACCTTGAACAAACACGAAAATAGCGAATTCTGAAGTTAGGGTTTACCTTGAACAAGCTGACGGTGGTCGCTGACGGTGGTGGTCGCTGACGGTGGTCGCTGACGGTAGTTGCTGACGGTGGTGGTCGCTGACGGTGGTCGCTGACGGTAGTCGCTGACGGTGGTGGTCGCTGACGGTGCTCGCCGAGGGTAAAGAAGAGGGGTGCTCAGAGAGAGGAGATGAAGAAGTGGGTAAAGAAGAGGGGTGCTCAGAGAGAGGAGATGAAGAAGTGGGTAAAGAAGAGGGGAATGGGAATGCAAAAGTCAGGGGGGGGGGTAGGGAATGAGATTAGAGGGATTTTAGGTAAAGTGAAAAATAAAAAAGGGTAAAGGGAATGATTGAAATGGAAAAACAAACGACAAGAAACGGAATCATTCCCATTCCGTTTCCTGAAACCCCCAAACCAAACGCCCCCTTATAGTATTAACAAGTAACTGAGCAAATACTATAAGCATTCACTTACCTTAATTAAATTCATATTAAAATACATAATTTAACTTTTATATACCTTCAAATTTTTTAAAAAATTACTTCAAATATCAAATAATTACTTATCAGGTGGTGGTGTCAATTTTTCATTATCAGACAAAAAATAACAACTTAACAACACAAGAGATGGTTACTAGTTTGTTATCTATCTATATATCTATCTATATACTGTATTAAAGCAAAACTTTTTAACCCTTCAAAATCATGTCTTATCCCTCCAAAATGCTTCTAATTTTTTATTTTTTTGTAATTTTTTTTTGAAAATTATCTTACAATAAATAACATACTACTTTTTGTACTCCCAGAAATATGCAACTACTTTTCTTAATCTACACAATTTTACAATTAATTAATCTATACAAAAAAAAAACGAAATTAAATCACTAAACAACTACTGAGTTTGTAAAAAAAAAAAATGCAAATCTTGATTCCCAATTAATCCAAACAAAAATCTATATTAGTGTTGGGTTTTACGGTGTGCGAAAATCGCGCGGGTCCAAAACCTGCCTTAGGACCACATGCACAAATTAAAGCGACTAAACAAAAACATGCATATAATTAATAAAACAATAAACATAAAATATATATATATATATATAGAGAGAGAGACGAGGGAAAAGACGTTCATACCCTTGAAGTGTGTTTTCCACCTAGCACGAACACGAACCCACGAACGGAGCTAGGAGCCTCAAATACGACTCCTCCAACGAGATCCACCCACGTGCCCGAAAACTTGGTCAGTATTATCGACTAGGATAATACCAACACTACGAACAAGAGGATATCTTTATAAGGTTTTCTCAATGGAGATGCCTTTTATAGAGTTCAACTCTTGCAAATAATTCCCAAGGCATACTTGGATATATATATATAGGAGAAACATCTCCTTCCCTTTGATATTCTATCAATGTAGGACTTTGCAAAGTTGAGAAAATAATAATGCAATTAATTTAATTCTAAAATAAATTAAAAGCAAGGAACAGATAACCAAACAACGAGTGGCAAGCACATGTAGGGGTTAGGTGAGGACCCAGGTATTATCTTCCCACCAATCACAGCAAGGCATGACCGGTTAAGGTCTTGGGCAACAAGGTAAGACCGGTCAAGGCCTTGTGCCTTTGGCTGGGCCGGCTAGCACGCACGCCAGGCACATCGCACGCTTGCTGGGCTGCTTGTGCGATGCTGGCAGCCTTGCCGCAAGCCCGGCCAGCAGTGCTGGACCCTAGCTGGGCGCACAGCATGTTAGCGTTGGCTGGGCGCCTAGCACGCTAGCAATGCTAGCAAGTGCTAGCGTCCAGCCGGCCTAGTGCTGCGATAGCACGCCCAGCCCCGCATGCCCGACCAGCACCATGCTAGGGGTAGGGGCTTGGGCTACGGTTTGGCCTTGCCCCCACTAGCGTGGTACGACAAGGCCTCGTGTTAGGCTTGCAAGCCTAACACGTCGTGTCGTTTGATTATTTTCCCGTCTCGTCAATTCCTAGAACCGTCTCGATGTCGACGCTCAGTTTTGACGCTCTAAGATCCGAATTTGACGCCGGAGTACGAATCCTCTTGTTTGACGTATTAAAGCCTTCGGCTTAATTCGTTGCCTTAGTTCGATTTCACGCTTGGGTGTGACCCGTTGGGTTCAGTCAAAGGTAAGCTGTGAGATTAATCTCACTGATCGAAGATGGCCTCTGGCCGAATTTCCGATCACTTGACTTCACTGAATAATTAACTTCATAATTAGTTCTGAACCTTGTATCGGAATAATACATTTGTTCGAAGGACAACATTCCTTTCAATCTCCCACTTTTCCTTCCGGACAAGTATGCAGTATGTGTATTGCCCTTTCCTATGTCGCTTAACGCCTCTTCATGAACTATAAGGTAAGATTTATCGTCATCCTTATTACGTCCAGAAGTGTTCCTCGAAATTCCGAGTTCGACTGTCAAGTACAGATGATTTCTAAAATCCATCTGAGCACGACCATGCATTTTCACAGTCTCGCTCTTCGAGAGGCCTTATAAACAACAAAGACATATTTCTTATTGTTAATAGGAGGACATTCCCAATCTTGTATTGTCAAGCTTCATTCACTTACTAAGAGACCTAGCTACCCGAGTGTCGCCTTTATAATCCCCTTTTACAACAGACGTTTGACAACATCAAAACAAACTAGTACTCAAACAAGTGAACTTACAATACTCATGGTTGAGGAAAAGGTACTGAAAACCATAATGAGATCAATACTTATGACAATTCAAAAATCTCTTAAAGTATTCTCATAGGTCAATCTAGTATGGTCCTAAATCAATACCTGTGTAAATGATTTATGACGTTCATGTCCTTGTAGGACAAGAAATGATCATGTAAATCATATTATATTAGCTTCCATGCATCAAGAACTCATCCTCTTTACTTAACAAAGTATTTTGGACGTTCTTGATCATAATCTAACTATCCAGTATTTAGATTTAAGTCAACTGGTACTTTATACTTGTCATGCTCTAAGCATGCAAGTCATGTAACGATTCCATATCGTAGCATTCATGATGGATCTTAATTGCAGACGTATTCCCAATTTGATCCCACTCATGTAATTTTTAGCTCATCCAGATTTACTGAGTCTTGCTAAACTGTTTGCTATATGATACGGTTGAAAGTCTATACTAGATTCTTTCTTGTTTGACTTAGTATTTGCCTAGCTTATACTTAGTTCAAAAAATTACTTAGTCTTATTCATATGGGTTGAAAGTCTTTTCAAGTCCTTCGTGTTTAACACGGTAAATTCCCTTACACGTTCAAACATTTCATTAGGTCTATCCAATAGATCTTAATTCCCACTATGTACTAAGTATCGTCTTAGCTTGGTCCATTATTGAAAAATACTTTCAAATCTAAACATTTATCATTTGATAGTCATTTTAAAATAGAGTTTGTAA